AGATCAAAATAATATTAGTACACTGTTAGTTAATGAGGAAAATAGTGATAATAAGAACGAACAGTCGGACAATAATGAAATAATTGACAACACTTGTCAATTACAACAAATAAACGGAAAAAAGAAAAAACCAAACCAACTTAATGGTACTCCTGCTACTACAGAAGACGGAAATTTACTCGTTTCAAGAAGCTTGTCTTATAGTAATGGTGATCGAAATAATGATTTTGTTTCTGAGAGTTCTCGGATTCCAATATCTAAAAGAGTTATGATCCGAAAAACTTCGAAAAATATTGAGTTAGGTGGTAATCGTAAACTTAGCATTCCCTTAAAATCAAGACAAGTAAAACTTTACAGAAATCTTTCAAGTAAAAGCAAATTATTTGCTACTACTTTTCGTCGCGTGCCGGATAGTTCCAGTGGCTCCGTTCCCTCAAGCGACTCCGAACTGGAAAGTCACTATATGAATGGAAATAGCGCTATTCAATTTTATAAATATCCGCTTCGATCTCGATCCGGCAGATTGTCGATTTCTAGGCGATTGGAATGTGCAGCCGTAAGCAAACGAAAGGTTTCTCTACGTTCGTCTGATGCTCGAATCTCTGAAGATATAGATTCTCGAAAAAAAATACGTTTTGATGAAGATTCTTATAGTAGCGAAGAAGAAATTTTGTGTTCAGGCCAAGTTTTTACTTGCAGTCCAATTACCCCAATCATTACTCATGCTCAAAAAAGCGATGCTCAAAAAAGCGATGCTAATATCGACAATTTACAAGTATCACCAATACCAAAACCGATAAATGGAAAAAATGTTGATAAGCAGGTTTCAAATTCTATTCCACAAAACACTATCAGCTCTCCTACTAACGTTAACGTTAACATGAATGGTTCTCAAGAACTTGCGCAAAAACCTTCAAACGATTCAAATTTGGGAACTACCACCGCTAATGATGCCAGTTCATCTTCAAAAAGGCAAACCGATCATCATTATTCTATTCAGAATAGTAAAACAAGTATTGCAACATCAACTAATCAGTGTGTAAATATAAATGTAAATACGCAATCTTCTGAATCATTACAATTAATTGCTCCTAAACCAGTTCAAACTGCACGA